TATCCATGAGAGACGTAACGTTACTTACCAATATTTTTCTTAATCACAACATCTGACTGACCACCTGTTCCATTCCAAGCAACACATTTTGTCAATTCATAGAATCGACCAGCAGATAATATACTTTTCATGCTCATATCATTTCTGGGAAATTCTAATATTTGTTGTCCTGCAGCCATGTAAATATTTTCTTTTCCGTCGTGGTTAAGAGAGGCGTACACATTGTCATCGTTAGTAGGCTGATACAAACGCAAACAATAAAATGTAATACAATCCATGTTGGTGATACAACACATTGATCTATGACTGGTTTTCTGGTAAAATTATCTATAGTAAGATTGAATAAATAAATAACGAAAAATAATATTAATTTTACCTTTTTCGATAATTCTGGCCTAACATTCTCGTAAGTAGCTGAAACATGGAAGTTTTTTGAGGTTGGTAATTGAACTGCGCAAACATATTCGGAACATATATTTCTACACTGTGTCCAACCATTCAATTAATCAGACAGGTAAATCAAAACCATAAATCAATTGCGATTTGTTTCTGACATATATAGGGCAATCTAAATTCGTTCATACATTACAAATGTTTGACTAGGATAGGCAGTAATATTGAAAAAAAAAGATTGACCGTTAGTTTCACATTGATAGTGTCACAATGCAATATCACAGCCTCGTCAACCATTAAGTGTTCTATGAACTTTGAACAAAAACACGTGTGTCGTTCACTGCACGCACCTCGTGGGACAACTAGTTTAACAAAATCAGCAGCAATATCCTCTGTATATGTCCAACACTACTTATAGATCGTTTGAATAATAATGCAGATATTAATGCAGATAGTTATGTAATAACAATTTGATTTTTAATTTACCTGTTGATGTTCTCTCTGGCAATTCATGGTCCTGTCGTTCTTCTAATGTCGAGTCTGACAAATAGTCAAGTGGCAATGTTAACAAAGTGTACATGTACAGTCATTTTTTTTTCAACCACATTTGCGCAACCAAAATGTAATTCATGTTCAAATCTAGACGAAGACAACTTTCAGTGATAGTTTGCTCAGTTTTTTTTATCTATAACATATCTAAAACATGTGTGTGGAACATATGATTAAAGAAAAAAAGTGCGTTTATTGTCAAACGTATTCTCTACATTTCGATATAATATAATTCTAATACATCGCTGTGTTATTGCTTAGTTTAATAAATGCAGGAATGTATATTCGAATATATTTAATTGTTATTGTAACGTGTTACCTTTGTTTTGTTTACCCCTTCTTCTCATGAATATTACACCCGCTGCAGTGGCCAATGCAATTACGGCAACTATTCCAACCAAAGGGCCTATATAAACACGAGGATTGGTTGGAACGTTTTTAGGTGAGTACTCAATGCTGATTGGTGCTGCTATTGGAAGAATGACAGAAACGATATTAATTTACTTGAGGTTATTGCAAATCATAATAAACAATGCTTTTATATTGTTGGTTATCCAGTAGTAGCAGTATGAAAGAGTGCGGATCATGACAAGTGTCTCTGTACGCTGTTTTACACTCTGTATATAATATTATTTATTTCCAACATTTTTTCAGATACGAACTATCGAATATTGGCAATACCATTCGCATTCCTAGCATAATCATGCATTGGTCGAAAAAATATATTCATACATGACTTTCAAAAAAAGTGTTTTAATATATAACAATACAATTTGGGAATACTACTTTTACACGTTTCTCGTAATAACCATATTCAGGGGAAATGTATACTCTATATACAGAGAATGAGGGGTATTACTGCAAAGATGAGAAAACTGGTGATAGTATTATTTTGTTATACAGTTTGTTTGTCTTACAATTGAATTGTGGATTGTACATTTTGACAATGCATGCTTGCCTGTCACGAATATATACATGCTAAAAAGGTTGGAAATTAACATTTGCAACTTTTCTTACCTGAAGTTATAAATGTGATCGTTTCGCTTGGTTCACTAACGGAAATCACATTTTCAGCTGTTACATATATTTCATATTCAGTAGATGAATTCAATCCATTGATGTAATAAGGTGGCATCTCAACTGTATTTGATCTGATAAAAACATTGACATAGATCTGTCTGTATGACACATAAAACCATTGTGATGATCCACCGTTGTATCCTATATCCCATGTAATATTGACAGAGTCCCATGATATACCCGTTGTTCTCACATTGGTGGGTGAACCTGGTTCTCCTGTAAACATATATAGATGAACACAATGGAAACAATTGTATTAAATTCAACAGCCTGATATTGACACGGTATTTATGAATCACTAAAGTAAATATGTTCAGTATTTTATACCACTACTTACTTTTCCCAGCCAGTGTAATATTGAAGTAATCACTACCAATAATATTACTGGCATGACATGTATATACACCATGGTCTACTTCAGGTATCACGTTTAGTATATACAATGTGCTTCGTATTGTTCTATTAACTGCATATGGTTCATGTTTCATCACAATTCTGCTCATATCACTCATAAGTTCCACTGCACTACCATCAGTCCATGTGTACCACGTTATATCTGGTATTGGATATCCCATAGACGTACACACAATGGTAGCATTTTGACCTTGATCTGCTGAACTTGTATCCAAAGTGTCATTGAAAATTACAGCAGAATCTGTGATTAAAGCATATAAATGAATAAATAAATGTACATAACATACAGATTCAAACACATGTTGTTATTTTGTCTTTTTTATGTAACCAAATATTATACTTGAATATTTTGGCGGTCATATCAAGACGTTTAGTATAAGAAGTAATACAATAAATGACTCATCAAGAAACAAAAAAGCGGAGCTCGACGAAAATGAAAATAAATATATTGGAAAAAATTGAAATAAATGATATAAGTTCATTAAGTGTTTTAAATAATTATGAAATATGATTGCATTTGGCGTACTTGAATCACCATGGGTGTTTCATGTTTTATTCCTGTTAGAATCTATGCAACTATTTTATGTATGCTCTGTAAAGTAGGGTTGACTGGGGAAAATTTATTTTCTAGAAAAAAAACATGGACATTATTGTTTTTTTTTTCCACTTACATTGTACAATTATATTGACAAATATAGTCTGTGGATTATTCTGGACATCATGATTACTTTCACATTTTAATTTCTTTCCAAAATCAATTCTATTTGGTATAATTGATAATACACTAACTGTGTCTTTTCTACCATCGCTATCCCATAATATTCTACTGTTGACATTGCTGGTAATTATATCATCATCTATATACCACTGTATACTGGCAGCAGGATGGGCTTTGGTAGTTCTACACATGATGTCAAATGATTCTCCCGCTGTCATGGTGACATTACTGCTGTCAGGATAACCATCAACATATATACTTTCCGGAGATACTGTAAAGTATGAAGTGAACAATCTTGTTTTATGAATTCATCATATTCAACACATGCATTTATGGCATTATATTTGCTGTGCATAGCTTTCCATGCAAGTAGTTACAACTTTTTTTTTAAATTGAACATATTTTAAGCAAACCATGTGTAACCCGACCACCCCTTCACTATAGAATTCCTGATTTAAAATTAAGAAAACTGCAACCCAAATATCTAATATGCCTACATGAAAATTGTCCGCTATCTGTTTTTGTATGTTATGTATCTGGAATAGTCAGGTTTCATTGCACATAGTCAAAGAGTAATTTTCTTGTATTGTTATATAGTACTGATAGAATTTATTAATTCAAAGAATGCAATAAATTTATTATTAACATTATACATACACATCATTGTATGCAAAACATACTGGAAACATAATTTAGGATGACTTCTATTGTTTGGTTCCAGACGATCGCTCGTTTGATATATGCCCATCGGTCTCGTTCAAACGGGCAATCGCCCGGATAATAATTCCAGACCGAAAATCTGTCATAACGGATACATAGCACTTCATTTCTAGAAGTTATATTTTCTCCAGGGACGTTTCGTCACAAAATTACTAAGTTTTAATGCATTCTGAACAGAATGCTATCGAGCATTCTGTTGGAAACACAGAACGAATATTTGTGTACTATAATGTTTCCCTGCTATTACATTAACTCATATCTGGTCAAGTCAATGAAACCTACATTGGGCTAATATGATATACGTGTAACAGTGTAATTAGCGAATAACGAGATAGGATTTCGGCTAGGATTACTTTTGTTAATACAAGAACCAGTTTCACACTTTTGATTTTGAGATTTAACCCTAAATGTCAGCGCCATTGCACGCAAACAGTGTACTGAAGGGACTAATATACGTTTCACAGTTTGCATAAACTATTGACAGTATCCCAATCTCATAGTCACACGAAAAATCACTTTTGTTTTTTCTCCTACAACATATTGCACCTGTGGGCATTCCACACATATTCAATACGAACCGCCGTTATGTCGCGGCAATCTGAGTACACACACTAGCGTAGCGTAGTGCTTGGCCACTGGCGATCACTCCAATGCTACTCCAAGTCAGTCAATATTTAACTCAAATTATTTAAATTACAATAATATTTGATGGGTTAAAATTAGATTTGTCCTTATTTTATTTTTCTCATTACACGTGAAAGCGAATTTTATGAACGACGCCAGTGACTGGAGAACCATTTCGTTCATTGTTTTCTGCTTTATGGTGGTAACAAATTAACTGGTACTGAGAACTTCACAAAATAATAAAATAATAGGCCGTCTATTATCTTTTTAAGTGAGTATAATTAAACTATACTTGTAACGTACGGGTTAAAATAAAATGATATTAAACACGCCATGCTTGCAACACACGAGTTATTAGTAAATAAACATTTCAAAATAATTACGTGTACTATTTATTTACTAATAACTCACAAAACAGCAGATATGTGGCAGTTGTGAATAAACATACGACAGTTAGTGTAAGAATATGAAACCATACAATACAAACTATACTGTGGGGTAAATTAATAATTTTTGCGCAGATCAAGAATTTTGGAAGAGTGTTTCTGTAATAACGAGAGTACGCAGTACGAATAAGCGGAATGTGTCGTGTGATTGTTTAATCTCACAATGGTTCACAAATGAATGGGAGTTTTACACAAACAAAGGTGAACGAACAACTGGAACGTAAAATAAAACCTCAAAACAGTAATTTACTTTGCATACGCTTCTGTGCAGTACACTATTGCGTTTCGTTACGCCGGTCGATGTTACTTTTGAAATTCAAATCTCAATTCGATGTACCATTTGTACTGACAGTGTTTTAAAGAAACAGAGCAGCGGTATTAATACCCATTTTCAGAAAACTGCCGGTGTAATTTATTTGCGTTCATGTTAATTTTATAACTAGAACATTTTTACAACATGTCACGAATAATATTGCACATTTCAGATACATATGCAAAATGCTAAGCAGTAACTTAGACACATGATATCCCTTCAATGAGTTTTATCATGGAAAGGATAATACATTGTTTTAAAATATACTTGTTAAGGTTGAGAAAAACATTAAAATAGTATTTAACACTTCTATCCACGTTAATTGCATTGGGCATGCGTAACACTGTACGAATGTGTTATTGTATGCACAACTTTTGTGAAAAAACAATCCATACACGACTGTGATTCGGTTCTCGAATAGCAAAGTTATGCTCGATATTGCTAAATTGTTAACATTAAAATATGTTACTGTGTAACCCTTATAATAACACATTTACATTTAATCTAATCTCATGATGGTACACCTTTAATATCAGTGAAATAAATACAGTCTTCATATATTTGCTTACCCCATACATCAAGTGTAAGTTCTTTAATAACAGGTTGTCCTTTAGCAACAGTTGCATAATTTGTAGCTTTACATGTCAATGTTGTATTCTGATGGACTAGATAAGTTGTTATAAATGTCATGGTGCTTGTTGTATCTTTCAGATTACTATCTTGTGTATTATCTGATATTGTCTCATCGTCATCTGGATTATCATTATCAACAGCCCACTGTATGTCAGATGCAGGGCGTGCTCCCATAGCACCACAAGTCAATGTACTCAAGTGACCAGACGTAACTATGACAACGCCTGACGACTCTTCTGAAATGGTAACACTGTTAGGAGATACTGAAATCAAAATAACATCTATATTCAATGTAATATTTGTATTGTGACATTCTACAATGGCGTAAATCCATTGTAGAAATTGTATCGGATAATCCGTTATCTACACAAAAACACCAATAGATAATAGATTGTGTGAGCTGTGTAATATGAATGAGGTTGAACATTAACAACGTTTTTACCAATATGTCCCTTCTATTATAATTGTTGTATGATTATTTCAAGTAGTATTGCATTGCGTAATATTTGTTATTTCTTGTCTATTTTTTAGTTGAAAGTGAATTTTGTGAGAGCTTTTTTTTCTTGTTTATTGATTGTTTTTTATTAGTGTTATGCAATCATTTTAATTTCTCCATGTAAGTTCAATATAGTTGCGCACACAATATTATATTATGTCATTGCTTACTTACCTTGTACATCTAGTTTAATATCTGTGATAACTGGTTGTCTATTTGCTGAATTACTTCCTTCACATGTAATAGTTTTACTATGATATGACCACAATGGTGTAAATTCTATAGTAGATGTTGTATCAAAC